CACCGATGTAAGCTCCTTGACATTGGTATTGGTGTTGAATTTTTGGATATGATTCCAAAAGCAAAAATAAATAAGTAGGTCTACACCAAACTAAAAAGCTTCTGCACAGCAAAGGAAACCATCAACAAAATGAAAAGGCAACCTATTGAATGGAAGAAATATTTGCAAATCATATATCTGATAAGGGGTTAATATCCAAAATATATAAAGAAGTCATACAACTCAATAGCAAAAAACAGTCTAATTAACAAACGGGCAGAGGATCTAAATAGACATTTTTCTAAAGAAGACATACAGATGTCCACAGACACGTGAAAAGATGTTCAGTATCACTAATTGTCAGGGAAATGCAAATCAAAACCACAATGAGATATCGCCCCACATCTGTTAGAATTGTTATTATCAAAAAGATAAATAACAAGTGTTAGAGAGGATGTGGCAAAAAAGGAACCCTCATACACTGCTGGTGGTAATGTAAGTTGGTGCAGTCACTATGGAAAACAGTATGGAGATTCCTCAAAAAATTAAAAATAGAACTACCATATGATCTAGCAAGTCCCCTTCTGGGTATTTATCTGAAGAAAACGAAAACACTAACTTGAAAAGATACATGTACCTCTATGTTCATTGCAGCATTATTTACCATAGCTAAGGTATGGAAACAACCTAAGTGTCCATTATGGATGAATGAATAAGGAAGATGTGGTGTATATACAAAATGGAATACTACTCAGCCATAAAAAAGGAAATCTTGCCATTTGTGACAACATGGATGGACCTTGAGGATATTATGCTAAATGAAATAAGTTAAGAAAGAAAAATACCATATGATTCCACTTATATACGGAACCTAAAAAAGAAAACAAACAAAACAAAACTCATAGATACAGAAAACAGCTTGGTACTTATCAGAGAAGAGGCTTGGAGGGTGGATGAAATGGATGAAAGGGTCAATTGTACCATGGTGGATGGTAACTAGGCTCATTGTGGTGATCACTTTGTAGTGTATTCAAACATCGAATTATTATGTTGTACACCTGAAACTAATATGTTATATACAAATTTCACCTCAATAAAAACAATTTAAGAACTTCCAAACTGTTTTCCAAAGTGGTTGTAATCATTTTACATCCCCGCCAGCAACGTATGTGGGTTCCAATTTCTCCATCTCCTCACCAATACTTGTTACAGTCTTTTTTATTATAGTCATTCTAGTGGGTGTGAGGTGGTGTCATTTCTTTTTATCGTTTTCTTGTGATATGTGGGCAACTTCCTGATACCATGTGAACAGATTCTATTTATCTCTTCTCTCTGAGCAGTTTGAAAGTTCTATCTTGTGTTCTAGACAATGTTCTGTAGCCTGATAGCCAGGGGTGGGGCAAGGAAGAGCTCAGCTGAGACTATCTTTGGTAGAATATCTGGTCTCCTTACTAAGATTTTCTACATGTTTGAACTAAGGTTTCCTCCCCTGGTTAGGGAGTGGATTTCATGACCTTGGGGGTCACCTTGGGCTTTGGATCCACTCTCTGCACAGTGTGGAAGCCCCACATCCATCAGAGAATGGGTCGTTCACCAGCCCTCTCTCATGGGTGTCTTCCCAGCAGCCCTTTCCACTTCCCCCAGCATCACCAGGGGAAATGTAAGGACATCCGCCTTCACCCTGCCTGTTTCTCCTGCAAGTGAGAGTTCCGGGATTTGGCTGACTCACCAGGGCCATTTGCAGGAGTAGCCTTGCACACCTGAACAACAGTTCTTCCCTTCTCTTACTATTTTTGGATGTTTTTGACATTTGGTTGTGTCTTTTTCCTTGTATGCTGCTGGGGTCTTTTTGCCTGCATGTTTTTTGTGGGAAGGAAGCGCAAGTTTTTACCATATTGTGCTCATGTCATTAAGGATTTGTAAAAGGAGCTGCTGTGATCCAGCTGCACTCTCACACTTTATCCAAAAACTCTTAGCAAAACTTTCAGGTGTTTAGCTTACTCCTGGAGATTCCCTATTATTCATTCATTGAACAAATAGTCACTGTGCACCTACTGTGTGCCAGGCAGGACTCTCGAAGCCAGGCTACAGCAGAGATCCAGAGTCCACCCCTCATGGAGCCACTTAGTCCAAGTGTCTCAATCAGCTTCCTTAATTTGCATAAAAATGTGTTTATAAGAGACAATTTCAATACTCCAAACCTAAGAATTTATACCAAATTTGCCTAGGTTATATAATTAACTCACCCTATAACATTCCTCTGAGACTTCACAGTCTAGCAAAGGTGCTTTCATCAGATATGGCATGGGCAGAGCAGAAGCTGAAGAGTGGGAGCAAGGAAGCTTTTTTCTTTTGGTGAGGAAAATTGGCCCTGACCTAACATCTGTGGCCAATCTTCCTCTTGTGTTTGACAAAGAGTGGCCCTGAGCTAACATCTGTGCCAATCTCCCTCTATTTTGTATGTGGGATGCTGCCACAGCATGGCTTGATGAGTGGTATGTAGGTCTGCGCCTGGGATCCAAAAACCCACAAACCCTGGGCCGCTGAAGCAAAGCGAGGGAACCTAACCACTATGCCACCAGGCTGGCCCCTGCCTTCATTTTTAAGCTCTCTTGATGTTGTACTTGAAAAGCAGCATCAGACACAGCTCATTTCCCTCTCAGTGCTTACAGGATGAATTAAAGTCATTTGCAAATTCCTTGGCTGATGATGTGCCAAAAGTAAATGCAATTCTGGCAGAACACATTTAAAAAGTATAGGGAAACAAAGTTGTGTGGCACAGAAAAGACATTTTTACATTTTAAATCTTGAAGCTTAAGATCTTTAAAAAATTTTTAATCTTTTTTTTTTAAAGATTGGTACTTGAGCTAACAACTGTTGCCAATCTTTTTTTCTGCTTTTTCTCCCCAAATCCCCCCAACACATAGTTGCATTTTTTTTTTCAGTTGTGGGTCCTTCTAGTTGTGGCATGTGGGACGCTGCCTCAGCATGGCCTGATGAGCAGTGCCATGTCCGCGCCCAGGATCCAAAGTGGTGAAACCCTGGGCCGCTGAAGCAGAGTACGCAAACTTAACCACTTGGCCACGGGGCTGGCCCCTAAAAATCTTTTTATAAACAGCATAAATAGTTGCACCTCAGTAATTTGCAGAAATCAGATTAACGTGATGCCATGGCTACTATTTACTTGAAGCCAATTTCTGTAGATTACCTCCCTGCAGCCACCTCAACTGTTGAGTCCCCAGAATTCCACTTGATCACTGCAACACTCCAAGACATCCATTACATCCACTCATTCCACAAATACATGAGACCTACTGTTTGCACTGTGCTAGGGACAACGAGGGAGACAGAAATAAGTTCACAGCATCTGCCCCGGAGGAATTACTGGGGCAAGTAGAAGAGTGCTGACAAAGCAAGGCAGAGAGTCTTAAGATGAAGCAATGCCACGTGGCACGCTGCGTGATAAACTCTGAATTTCCAGAGAACCGTCAACAGAGCTTGGTGACTGACCTGGTTCCTAGCCTGTGAAGAGGTTCCGTACCGAACAGCCCCTAGTCAGAGCTCACAGCACACAGAAACAGAGCCTGAAGGTCAGACCCAAACATGACATTTTGCTGCCGGCACAGGCCCATGGAATTTGCTAGAGATCACACCCACCATCTCTGGTGCCCTTTGAACGTGTACTTTTATTACAGTTTCTTTTAGGGGCCCATGTTTGAGTTCATCATTCATAAATTTGTTTAAATTGTATCTGGGAATCCCTTGATTTTCCTGCTAATTCTCTGTCTCAGAGGCCATCAGCTCTATCAAATGCTTGATAGGAAGCCTCCCCGATTTGCTGACATCCTTTAGGTTCCAAAGTCTATTCTCTTGTAAAGATTTTTTAGGATTGGGGAACAAGTTCCTTCATCTCCCTTCATGGATATGGAATATTTCAGCTTTCACCTGTCAAATACTGGAGCTTCCTTATTTAACCCAGGCCCCAAAGCCATAAAGATGGTCAACTGTCAAGGCAGCTGCTACTTATTTCCCATGTGAACACATGTGCAACCAGTAATTCCCATCGCTTCCCTGGCTCCTCCTCGTGACGTAGCTCAACAGGGAAATGTTGGAGATTCTCTTCTACATAGAGCTAAACACGGAGGGGATTCAGGGGAAATCTTTACTGTTGATAGCAAAGGGGCCGCTTCCTTGCAGGAACAGGTTTTCCTCTAAAGAAATACCTGCTCAGCCAAGAGTCTCATGTAGCCATGACAGATAAGAAAGCGTTTGCCCTACAAAAGAAAGGCCATGCAAACGGGACTACCTAGCTGGAAGTGTTGCCCTGCTCTGTGCCCAAGCTCACGTTCCTAGCAAAAAACAACTTAACATTGGCTGTTTCTGGAAATAGCGTGGGAAAGCAGATGTGATGGGGATGCACCACCTAGTGACCAGAGCTGGAAGTGTCACTCACTATACCAACACACCTAAGCAGAAGATTCTGAGCTTCATAAGAGGCCCATTCTTAAATGGCAAGTTATCACATGAAAGCGATTCAGTTCCCCTTTCAGGTAAACTGTAACTAATAATCTGATGAAGAAAATATGGGTCTGTCCCATGAGATTTATGAAGATATTCTCAAAAAATATTTACAGCTTTTAGATTTGACAAGCTGATTAAGTCTTCTAGCTATTAACACAGATGTTTAAAAAGTAATACTCAGACACCCAATTTGAAAGGAAAAATGCTAACAATTTGTAAATGTTTCAAAAGAAACTTGAGTAAAACCCATTTGGGATTAATAATTGTTTTTCTTTCCAATAAAGGGTCAACAGCAGATCTACAAAGACTCAAAAACATTAACACACTGAAACACATTTCTAAACACTTCGAGTCTGTCAATAAATCAGCCAATTATGAATATATCTTAAAATGGAGTAATGCCTTAAAAATAAACATTTTACTTCTTAATAATAAAATTAAGTTGCTATGATTATTCCAGATTATATTTTAAAGTAGAAAACATACAGAAAAAAACTACATTTTTAAAGTGACTTGTAATTTTATTAATTTTCCAGTACTCGTGCAACCTTTTACATTACTAACAAAATTCAAACCACATCAACTAGACACAACAGGTGTGCAGTTTACTTTAAACAGTCATAGGAAGACAAGACTACGTCACTATTACACTGTAGAACTGACAGACGACTCAAGTTTAGGTAGATAACTTTATTTAGCTAAAGAATTGAAACACTTCCCACTTTCTGCAATCATAGCTGAAAAGCTTTTCAAGGCAAAGTACATCCAGGCCAGAGATATGAGTGACACACTTCAACTTAGCAATATAAAACTAATGTCACAGGAATTAAATAGATATTCAATCACTGCAAAGGTTGTTCTTCTAATTTAAGTTTAAATTTTTTCACAGAAAAAAATATATTTCAGGCAAATAAAAACAAATTCCAGAGAAGCACGATTCGGTTTTTTATTTTACCTTCATCAAGGCAGGCAAAGTACAGATGCTGTACATTAAAAACAACATACGAATACATCACTCACAACACATCAATTTCTACAGGCAAAAGGGCTTTTTCTAAGCACTGCTCTCTTTCTGAAGCACAGAATCACAGCTAAATGTACAAAGAGCCGTCTGCTGGTCCAACGTAGCCAACACCAATTAGCAAGACGTCTATCAGCGTCCATATTCCCAGGCCACCGAAGCTGAAGAGCTTGCCGAGACCTTCTCGCCACTGGCCCAGGTAGAAACGATCTGCTCCGAACCCACCGAGGGTGATGCTGCAACAGCAAGCAGGACTGGAATGGATCAGACGGCCCCCAACTGTAGGCAGGTGGGGCTCAATAACCACGCCAAGTCCCACTTGCGAAAGGGCCTCAAATTATCATAACTCTTCATTAGAACAGAATGACTATTTCACAATTTACAACACCAAATAATCATGAGCAAGAAGATTGTTTAAATGCCAAAAGTAAACACACAATTTTTAGCTGTACTGAAATTTAATGTTCCTTTTTTATAGAAAAGTAATTGATCTCATTGCTTTTTCATTTTGAAAATGGCACATCCAGGAGAACAAAGCGGGGGCTGGGTCTAACCGAAAGTGCACGAACATGCAGTCGGTGGCGTGAGGCAGCCAACACCATCTGGCTGACCTGGATTAAGCCGCCTAACTTTGTCAGTCACTCATCGCTGAAAATTTAGCGTTACAAACAAATGACTTTTAAGGTTCCTTCAAATTCCAAGATCTAACAATATTCAGACAACTTCCATTGTATTTCTTTTAAAGTTTTTCTTACGGAAAACTTTAAAACACAGAAAAGTAAAGAGAACAGTACCCATGACCCATCTCCAACAATTATCAGCACGTGGCCAACCCTGCTTCATCCATACCCTTCTCCTCCCCACCCAGAGGACTGTGAAGCAAACCCTGGACATTACCACATTCACAGTGAACGGTCTGAAAGAAACTATGTTGAGCCTTGAGAAGAAAACTATTCTTACTTTTTGAAAGTCAATTGTTAAATGTACCATGATAATTTAAGATGTTAACAATGTGGGAGAAACTGGGTGAGGGGTGTACAGAAACTCTCTCTCTTTGCAACTTTTCTGTAAATCTAAAATTATTCCAAAACAAAAAGTTTATTTAAAAAAAAAAAGCCAGTTGTTAGTTTTAATTTGAACCTCTGCTGACAGTGACCATGGCCACTGTCAAACCTCGTTCTTGTTGTATCTATCTCCTATCTAGACTCCTCTTCTACTTTCCAGTTGAGCCTTCCTGCCAGGCAGGAGCCTTCTCTCTCCCCAGCCCAAATTCAAATGCAGGGGTTCTTAACAAGTGGCAATCTGGCAGTATCTGGAGACATTTTTGATTGTCACAACTTCAGGGTGGGAAGGGAGGAAGTGCTACTAACATCTAGAAAAGAGAGTCCACAGATGCTGCTAAACATCCTACTATGCACAGGATACCCCCACAACAAAGAAGGATTTGGCCCAAATGTCAACACTGACGAGTCTGAGAAACGCTGCCCCATGTCACACTGCAGCCACAGCGTCTAAGGCTCTAATTCTAAATCTTCAGCTGCAGACATCACAACTTTTTAATTAGTGACTCATTTAACTAGCATCCCTCTGGTGGGAAGAACTGGTATAATTTTTTTTCAAACTGTTGAAAAGTTTAACAAATATAAGCACATTTTTATGTAAAAATTATAAGTCTATAATTATCTCTGGATGGTGGAATTACAGGTGATGTTTAATGTTTTTTTCATTTTTTCCAGTTTTCAGTATTAAGCATGTATTAGTTTTTAAAATAAAGAAGCAAGTCACTAGAAAGTAAAAATATACACCCTAAACCTACCTACTTTAAACAGCATACGGCATTTTACTGACTCATGGTAACGTTCAAGATGGAAAACCCTGACTGGTTCTAATGATATAATAATGACTCAACCAAATCATCTCTAGAATATGCAGGTACTTTGGGAGAAAAGCTACATCCTGGCCTTAAATTCCATGAAGGTACTGGTCTGCTCATCTAAGTAATTGCCTGCAGCTTGATGTTTCCTATGGTCTAACACATGTGGGAGGAGCTGAGTGAAGGAGAAGCTTGGCTGAGCTCAATGTCTGGAAGACTCCATTAAACCCAACGAAATCCAAATGGCGTCTTTAACTTCTTAGTAATAAAGCTTACCTCAGAGCCAGAGCAGTAGACCACTTATAACCTCCAGTCCAATTGCAGTACAGCATTTTCGGGAAAGTACGGTTACCTTAAAAAAAGGAAAAACACTCTAAGTACATAGAAACATGGGTACAAAAATACTCTTACACAGAGACAAGTATAACTAGTGGCCTTGTAATTGAAAACCTAAAAAGTCAACTCCCTTTACAATAACAAATGTTTACTACAATGAATGGTAAAAGGCAAGTCCTTACTATCTATAAGCATAGGTTTAATATTTAAATCAATTAAGTAAGGGTTACAGCTTGACTGTGAAATGCCCTACCAGCTATCGAGACTTTGTAAAGTGAAGAGTGAACAGTGTGGTACTGAGATGGACAAATCAAGTGATGGGAAAAGAGAGTGGCCAGACCACACACGTATAAAGACCTCCTGTGAGTCCTGAGACAACTGGCTATCCGTGTGAGAAAAAAGTGAACCTGAATCTTCCTCACACCATATACCAAAACGAATTCCAGGTGTATTATAGACCTAAATGTGAAAGGCCAAACTTACAAATTGTAAAACAAACCACAGGAAATTATCTTTATGCAGCCGGGGTAAGAAAAGATTTCCTACAACTATGAAAAGAGCTAACTATGAAAGACTAATAACTTCAACTAATTAAAATTTTAAAGTTCTGTTCATCAAAAGATACCAAAAGAAAGAGGAAAAGCAAAAGAAGATAAAACCTGGGAGATGATTTCAGGGACACGAAAGGTTACCATCCAGAATATAAAAGAATTCCCAGAAATCTTTAAGAAAAAGATAAAACTTAGAGATGTGGATTGGAGAGGCTGTGGATCATCAAGAAGAGTTATGCAGCACTGGGGGGAATAGAAATCGATCAAACCACTTACCATGCTACACAAAAATACATGCTAGACAAGAGTATATGCTAGACAAGCTTGTACACATGTGAAACCAGGAAACATGTACAAAAATGTTAACAGCAGCACAATCTGTAAGAGTAAAAACCGGTAAATAATCCAAACACGTAGAATGGATAAACTATCATCCGATCTTACAATGGATTATGATACAGAAGTCAAAAACAATAAGAGAAGACATATGGATGAATCTTAGAGCCATAATGTTGACAGGAAAAAACAAAGTCCTAGAAGACCATAAACAGCTTGCTATTATTTTATACAATTCTAAAACACGCCCTATTGGATAATATGTCACACTATATGTTATCATCTACATGTGACAGAACTGTAAATAATGTAGAAGAGGAAGTGGGATGGTAAGAGAATTCAGAGGGGTGGTTACCTCAAAGGGGAGGCGGCTAGCTGCGAGGGTAGCAGATGGCCTCAGTTGATTGATTGGGTACAACTCAATGACCATACACTATGCTCTAGACCCCACACATTTTTTCTTGTTTTATCAAGAAAACATTTTAAAAGATAAGAAAATTTCAAATTCTCTGGATTTTTTTTTAGTTCATTGAGTTTATTAACGAGGCTTGGCATAACTAAAAAGTGCTGACAAATGTTTCTGAGTAAATCATTTAAATTTAATTCTCAAATTTCTGGTTAAAGTTCCATAAGCAAGCTTAGAGAAAAACATTTTGCTTACAAATTTCCTTAAACTCCAACTTACCCAAGCAATGAATGTGGTCCCGCACCGTGCAGTTGGCAGTGTAGCGCTGTCGAGGGCAGGACACCGTCATGCAGCTGGTGGAATTGGAACACTCATAATCGGTTTCTGGAAGCTGCCAGCAAAATCTGCAAGTCATGTTGATGACGAAGTTCTTTTGGGATTTGAAGTCTTGATCCTACATACCAAAGGACACAGAACTAATCAATCATAATATGCTAATGTTATGTTAACATGTCAATTGTTAATATGTCAATAAAACTACATACCATATGGCACAAAATTCCTAAAGTATTTAACTTTATGACCTAGCAGAAAGTGGCAGAAAAATAGGTACCAAAACAATATGTACACAAAACAAATGTATATAGTCCTATAATCATAAAAATATACACCCATTTCATTTCCATTTAAAAAGTCATTATTTTGTTTTCTGCTTATAAAGTAGCACACGTTCTATGGATGCTGCCATTTGGAAATTACAGAAAAAACCCTGTAACCTCTCCAGAGAACCACTTTTCATCTTCTTCCATTTTTTCCTCCTGTAACATAGATTTATGTAAGTGGAACTTTACTGACAGCATTTGGTATCCTTTTTACTCCCACTTGACACTATATGATACATATTTTTCAAAATCATTTTTAAATGGTCACACAATCACCTCTGCAAGTATCATATTTATTAATTTTCTTGATCAATGCAAAATAGCTTTTATGGATAGCGTTCAAAACTGGGTAAGACCACTTGATTCAGGCAATATCATTTTAAACATCTGCATATTTCCAGTTATGCATTTATAACAAACATTTCTTATCAACTGTTTTTTAAAACTAGGTAATACATGTATGCGGTACAAATTCCCAGACGTGACAGGAGAGTGAGGAGGAAGTCGGCTCTGCCCTCAGCAGCCGCTCCCTGCCAGCACCGCGCACTGCTCACCCAGAGGCCTTCCAGCGAGTTCGGTCGATGCATGGGCACATTTATGGCACATATATTTCTGTTTTAAAATTTAACTTTCCCACTGATATTTACTTTTCACGTAATTCTGTAGCTATCAGGAAGTATCTCTAAAGCTGCCAAATCCTTTTAAATAGGTGCAATGTATTTATTTCAGTACACAGTGAACCATAAATTAAACAGTTCTCTCTTGGACATTTAGCTTGTTTCAAGTCTTTTGCCCAGGGAACCAATGCAGCTAAGAATGTCATTAGGCATACTGATTTGCATCCATCTGCAATAATGTCTGTAAGATAAATTCCTAGATATGGAATTGCTGGGTCAAAGTTTATGTGTATCTCTAAGTTTCATAGATATGACAAACTGCCTATAAGAGGTTGATCAATTTGCCCACCCAGTATCAAGAAATGAAAGCGTTTGTCCCTAATACCCTCATAAACTCAGTGTTATCAAACTTTTTGACTTTTTCTGCCAATCTGATAGGTTAAAAGAAGTATTAATTTTATTTAATTATGGGAAAAATTAAACATGTTTTTCATGTGTTGAAAGTCCATTTGTATTTCTTTCCTATGAACCATCTGCTCATGTCCTAATGCCATTTTTCTATAGGATTGTCACCTTTTCTCATTGGTTTTTAGGAAATCTTTACGTATTATCAACATTAGTACATTACTTGTCATGTGTGTTAGAAATACTTTTTCCTAGTTTGTCATCTATCTTTTGCTTTTATGTTTTTTAGGTCATGCAGAAATCTCAAATTTGTAGAAGTCAAATGTATCAATTCTTTCTTTTATGGCTTCTAAATTTTATTTCATATTTGGAAAAAAATTCCCGACTTTGGGATTATAAGAAAACTCTCTCATGCTCTCTCTGATACTTCATGGTTTCTTTTTGCATATTAAATCTTTGATCTACTTGGAATTTATTTTGGACAAGACAGGGATTCCTCCTAATCTTTTTCCAGATAGCTATCCAGGAAACCCAACATTTACTGAATCTATCTTCTCACCACAGAGAAATACAGACCTGTTCAAAAGCTCATCTAGAGTGAAAAGATTTGTTACCTGTCCTCTGTGAAACAGCTGTTGTTACTAAGAACACAGAATCCATCTGAGGGAACTCTACCTGCTTCGGGCACACTAGCAGACTGGTATCTTCTCCAAGTTAATACAAAGCAACATTTTCTTCAAGCACATTTAGAGCTGACATCAACTGGCTTGACAGTTACCATTATAATTGGAACAGGAGCAATCTGATACAGAAGAAGTTGAAGGATTTTTACATTTATTTCTATTTATATACTTAACAGGGCCATCACAAAATAATTTCTTTGAATGGTGTAATCCAGTTGAGATTCTCTTAGCCTGTACACATGCAGAAGGACTGGAAGAGCTTTTTTCCCCATTAATTTTAAGTTCAAGATAAGTGGGGGAAGAGAGCGAGAGGGGCCTGAGTGCATGCACACACAAGCAAAAGAGAACGAGTATTTGCATGTGTGCATGTGACAGGCGGGGATTATTTCTTCTTGAAACGGGAACTTATTTACCAAGAAGGGACCCTACAGATTGTCACTAAACAAATAAGGAGAGAACACATGGCTTGCCCGGGATCTCCTGGCAACGGTGGTCCTAGGACCCACACCTCCTGACAGGCAATTCACATATTTTATTGCTCTCCATTTTTAAGAAGGAACAGACCGCCAGACTCTTCTTGGGGCAGACTTCAAACTCCACACCCGAGGACTGGGCACCTGCTATCTTAGAGGATTCTTATTACTGGCTAGTACAGCAAGCAGGTGAGATGAAAACACCTGGAGTAGGAGGAGAGAAAGAATCTAATCAGGGCACATCTCAGCCAGGAGGTGAGACCAAGGAGTTCAGAAACTTCCCGAAGCTTTGTAATTTCCCTACCTTTGTTATTTTTCTTATCCTCTGCCATTTTCCACTAAATGAAACTGTTTTCAGAACACCTACAGAAAGAAGAGATTGAGGACCATGTCTCCCTCTGTAACCAGTTTTGAGAGCTGAATGTCAAAGATGAGGAAGCAAACCACAGAGGAGGCAAACCCTATGAAGGCTCCCTTCAACGGCAAAGTCGGCCCGTCCTTCACTAAGTACCTACCACGCTCCAGACCCAGGAGAGAGAAAATTTTAAAAGGCTTCACGTAGGCTTAACCATCAGGTAGAGGGAAAATTCTATTGAAGAAACAGTGCCAAAGACTGATGACTAATAACTCAAGGGCAGTTATGAAGACTATCTGGCAATTGGCTCAATTTTCCAGTGTGCTTTAAAGGGTAACACTGACAAATGAAAATGACAGACTTAAGTTTACAAAAACCACATTCAGACACTGACACGGCATAAAACCCTATCTCCCCTTTGGAGGGAAGCCTCTCTGGCTCCCTCTCCTGATAGTCTCCTGATACCAGACTTTGGGAGAATTACAGAAAGAGCCTGGCGGTGGAAGGAACTTTCCAATCTAGCCCTTCCCAGACCAAGTTCCAAAGAACCGGGGAAACAGTACCTTGTTCAAGTAAGTGACGGACATGCCACAAACGCTGTGTCAAAAGAAATCTGTGAAAGAGGATATAGAATGGAATCTGTTTTTTCCTCCTCGACCATTTCCCAGAACCAGGGTCCCATGGAAACACTTTAGGAAAAGCTATTCTGGGCCCATCCCCTCATTTAACAAGAGAAAGATTAATCAATCACACAGTTAATTATGGCAGGACCAAAAGTAAAACACTGCTTCACTATTCATTTCTACTCCTTAGCTCACCCAGATGCTAGGACAGTAGTCCCAAACAATGGGATGTGCAAGGACTTGCTGGGCTACTTGTTAAAAAACGCAGATGCCCGAGTCTCCCTGAGCTATCCACAGTCAGCGGCTCTGGGGCTGCCGCCAGGACTCTAACAGGAGCCCCAGCGAAGCAGCTGAGAAACAGGCTGCCCTGGACACTCCAAGGAACACCAACTACCAAGGCCTTTCTAGGCTCCATCCTGTCTGTCAAGTACCAGAGAGAGGATGGAGGTGTGATGATTGTAACAGGGCCATTTCTAAGAGGCAATAGCCGGTGTACTTGAACTTTCTCTACTTCCAACTTTCTGTAAGAAGGCTGATATTTGCTCCAATTTATCCTTAGGTCAAAAAATTGCCATATGAACCCTTACGATCAAACCCTACCTGGAAATACAACTTTCAGTCTTCTGATAAAGTTGACTGTGTTCCTAAAATATTAATTATCAAATGCAGAGCACTTTCTTCCAGAATTTCCCCCACAGTCAAGTCTAAAGTCTACTTTTAACTCGAGGTTTACACTGAGTTTGTTTAGAACAAGTAAGTTGCAGTACTTACAACACAGGTAACAGAAGGTTTGACTGTGCAGTCAAAAGTGACAGGCTTCCCATAGACACAGGAGAAATTTGTCTTGCACTCTACACAGTCTGCAGGAAGTCTGCTGCATAAACCATTGCTTGGACACTTCATCACATAAGGTGGCATATCGGTACTTTCTGTGAGAAGTGAGAGAGAAGCTTATTCTTTCATAATACTGATCGGAATCACAGAGGAAAAGAACTTTCTAAGGTTAAGGGACACGATCATTACCAATGAGATACTGTGCTAGAATGGAGAAAGCAGAGTTGGAGTCAGAGACACCTGCAATTAAAGCAGGATTCGACAGCTCAACAGCTAAGTAAAAAGGACTTAATTACTGTCCCCAAAATGACTATGAAAATCAAAGGTGCTTATGTACATATAATGTATATATAATGCTAGGTATAAGTAGGGCCTCAAAAAATCTACCATGTAACAGGATGAAAAACTACGGCTTAGAAACGGTGGAGTTTGTTCAAGATCACAGAGGGAGTGACAAAACTGGAACCACAACCCAAATCTCTGTTTCCAATTCAATGTTCTTTTCACATGAATTCACTAATTTGGAAGTGAAGCCAGTGACTTTTTAACTGAATCAATGGGTACAACCAGTATCAATTCCAGAAAATCTTCTGTCATTATTCCACACTGGTACGTCAAGAAGCCATACCTTACTAATATAATTAGCTAATAACATTTACAGTTTTGTACTACCAAAGTTCAAAATAGTTCTCTATATTAATAACTTGTTCAGTGGGTTGCAATTCTTTTTCCAGCCAACCTTGCCAAAAGCACGATATATTTTTATCAATTAAGTGGATCAAAATTGCAAGTATTCTTGGGGAGGAAGAGAAGCTTTCAAAGACATCCAGAAGAATAAAAAATTCTTGTGCTTTCTCTATAAAATAACCTATGTTTTAAATTCAAGTATGCTGCTATCTTCTAGCAGTCTTTCATATCCAAATAACAAACAGTAAATACCTCTGCCAGTTTCAATTCATTGAAATAACTGAACTCTAAAGGGATGAAATGAGAGAGACAACGGTTCCATTTAGCAAAACACACTAATGCTCATTTAAGAATGGTCTCAAAGTAACTGCATTAAGTAGGCAATTCTACAAAATACCATTTTTCTTTTCTTTTCTTCCTATTACTATTGTGGCTGGAGGCTGGACCCTTAGAATCACAAAGCCGAAATGACTTTATAGGGCCAGGCTAACCTCACCTCCTGAAAGATGAGGAAACCGAAGCCCACGGGGTGACTGATCTGCTCAAGCTCCCAGCAGCACAGCCAGACCTAGACTCCAAGTCTCTCTCAGTCCCTCTGTGATCCTTCCATTACACACCGCCCTGGGAGGCGCCTTTAAAGTCCAACAGCAGGAACAGGGTTCAAAAAGCAGAAGCACTGGCTGAAGTTTATCTTGAAGGACAAAATGGAAAAATAATAGAAATAAAGAAATGGAAATGAAGAGTGTGGGACTGGAAAAAGAGGTGAGACAGGAATGCCAAAAGGTAGTGAAATATCAAGACTGTCTATGGAAATGTTTGTGTATCTGGGGGCCAGCCTGGTAGCCTAGTAGTTAAGTTCAGGCGCTCCGCTTTGGTGGCCCAGGGTTCGCTGGGATGGACTGGGATCCCAGGTGCGGACCTATACACTGCTCATCAGCCATGCTGTGGCAGCATCCCACATACAAAATAGAGGAAGATTGGCACAGATGTCAGCTCAGGGCCAATCTTCCTCACCAAAAAAAAAAAAGAGAAAGAAAGAAAAGAAAGGTCTGTGTATCTGCCTTTTAGTTCACATAACCTAAAATACAATAAATAAAATACTCAAAAGATGGAACGTGATTTTACCCAAAAAGAAAAAGAGAAACCACTAGATATGAATATACACATTTACTAGAATAGAAAATGTCTAGTACCTGCTGCCCTGGGAACTACTGTGAAAGTACGTGTTGGGCCCGGATCCTTTAGTGACTGAGCCAGCGGCTGCGAAAGGTCTAAATTTAAGGATCCTACAATTAGAGAAACATGTTATCCTGGGATACGAACACCTTGGTTTGTGTGGTTAACACGCAGGGTCCAACAACTGCTCATGAAACCCTCACAGCTTGACTGCCCAGAAAACTAAAGAATGAAACGCCAAAAGGGTCTACACCAATTGAGATCTATGGGCAACTGGGGAACAGAGCCTGGTATCGGGATCCAGCTCCGCTTGCCCGGCCGAGAGCCCGGCGGCTCCGGGTTCCTGAGCGGAGGGGCGGTCGCGGACCTGCGCTCAGGACGCGCCAGACTCGGGCTGCAGCGACCCGCCGCCCTCCGCCCGCAGGCCCAGCCCGGACGCTTCCCGCAGCTCCCGGGGGCTCCCTGTCACTCAGTCCGACCCGGAGTGGACGCCGGCCTTGAACTCACCACCACCCGACAAGATGTAGAACTGTGAGAGGAACAGCAGCACACGGCACAGGCGGCGAAAAGCCCGCAGCGAGACCGCTGCACCCGCCATGTTACCGGCGCGCGCGCACTTCCGGGACGCGGGGCGGGGCTAAGCCGGGGGCGGGGCTAAGCCGAGGGCTGGGGCGCCGGAGGGGGCGGGTCTGGGCGCGTCCCCGGGGAGCCCAGGGCGCAGGCGCGCAGCTAGTGCTGCAGGGGTTCTTCCCCCGGGCTGGAAGCTCCCGGGAGCAGTGAGGGGGTGGTGAGGGGCCGGGGCCGATGCGACGGCGTGAGGTTGCTCGGTTCACAAGAGCTGCTCACTTGCACGAGGTGCTCACTACTTTCATGGCCAGAGACCGGGGAAGGTCACCTGGGACCAAAATGCGCACCTGAAGTGACGGAAAGCAGAGGCGGGTATCTTGGGAAGTTGGTCACCATTTGTATGTGGCTGGATATGTATGCGTAGAGATAAAAGTTGCAACTGTGTGCTACGTACTAGGGGAAAGTTTTAATGACATTACATATAATTTCACACTAAAGAAATACTTGTTTACAGATGAAGAAACCGTGGCACAAACTGTACGGGAAGTGACTCCCAGGTGTGCCAGGTGGCCCTGCACAAGCCGCTCTTGGTGATCCCAGCGCTGGCCCGGGTCAGCGCAGCTAGCGTCTCTCCGCGGCCTGCGTGGGCGCCCCACGAGCCTAATCCTTTGACAAATAGAAATGGCAAGCAGTAGGATATATTCGAGTGTATGGGGAAGCCATTTCGTGTAAACCTAATTTGGCCTGACTTTGTTTTTTCCAAAAGGGCCTGACTGTGGCCGTTGAGCCCGCATTGTATATCTGCTTTAAACATTTCCTATGGCAAGAACAAATGGCCTTGAGATAAAGGTGCAACTTCCCCCTACATTGGCATTTCCTTAAGGATAAGTATCTTTCCTTAGGCTAGGAACTGATTGCTGCACTCGCCTTTGACCGCCCAGCTCCAGACAACAGACCCGCCACCCTGCTGTGTTCACCAAGACAGCAGACCTAACTGCTGTTTCCATCAATTGCTGTGTGGACAGAGCAGTCTCACAACTATTGTAAAAGGGACATTTCAATCATGTGAAACATCCTCTTTGGGGGTATATAACCACTCTGTGCACCCCACTTCTTCAGTGCCCTTTCTTCCTTCGGGAATACAGGCCCGGACCATGGTCCTTACATTTTAGCTCAGAATAAACTCACCCAAATTTTCATTTATAGATTCGTTATGGATTATTTTCGTCGACACCTCGAAGCCACGCATTACTTCAGAGCGTTCCTCCAAGACTGGGAGAAGCCCCCAGGCCCTGGGACAAGAGCCCTGGATGCAAGAGGAGGGTCCAAAGCATGGGCCCCTCCCTGGAGAAGGCCAGCCCTGGGGGTGAGCCTCACCCCAGGCCACCATCTGCACCTATTTCTATCATAGTATACTTTGTCCTGGGCTGTTGACATGCTTCCCTCTTCCCAGCTGCCTGCCACAAGATCATTTTGGGGGTGGGGGGATCTTCTGACTCCCCACTTCCTCACTACCACGTTTGGTGAATGAAAAATATATCAAGGGGCTGGCCCGGTGGCTCAGCAGTTAAGTGCACACGTTCCACTTTGGCGGCCCGGGGTTTGCCAGTTCGGGTCCCGCATGCGGACATGGCACCATACCATGCTGTGGTAGGTGTCCCAAGTATAAAGTAGAGGAAGATGGGCAGGGATGTTAGCTCAGGACCAGTCTTCCCCAGCAACAAGAGGAGGATTGGCAGTAGATGTTAGCTCAGGGCTCATCTTCCTTAAAAAAGAAAAAAAAATCTAATTGTTTCTGGCCTCAATAACTGTTAGTGTGAAAAATTATGTCACATAATTTGCACTTTATAGCACTATACAGGTTTGATATATAATACTGTTTTATTTACCAAATGTCCAGGAAACTAAATGATAAGTATGTTGAGAAGAGAGAGCATGTCTTAAATTTATTTTTAATTCTGTAGCACCAAGCCAAATAAACACTCAAAACTACTTCTTGATTGGTAGCTAAATTCTCTATTGGCATTAAGCCATTTTAATTTGGTTCTGAGCAGTAAAGTATTCCTCTCAGTTAAAATCAGAAATCCACTTGAGTCTATAAATCAGTGGAATGTCATCCCATCAAAAAAGTAATTTAACTCTAGGGCAGCAGATTACTGTGGAATAAGCCCATAACTGAAACAGTGGAAACACTATGTGATGCATTTTATTTGGGAATTTATTTTTTGTAAAGATGAACAAGGCTCAATTGTCAATTAGAAGCATTAAAACAGCAATTCTTAAACTACAGTGCAAACAACAGGAGTTTCCAGAACAATGAATTTCTTTGAGTTCAGAGTCTTTTGTCAGTAATTCAGTATTTAGCACTAGCTGCTTCTTTTGTGGTTGTTGGTTAGTTAAAATAAATTAAGTAATGACTCCAATCTTGGAGATAAAAGTTTCAGTGTGAACTTTAGTAAAACAACCATAAAAATACCTGAGAAATAATGTTATTAGAAAATAATATTTTCCCTTATATTCAAAAAAGCTTTGCAGACTTATATTTGAAACCAATCTTTTGAAAATCACAAATCTTAGATAATAACATCTCATAATCCTCATTTCCTAGTATTTCCCTCTTTCAATGAATAACATTTTCCCATTTAAGTCTCTCAAGACATTTGGGAAATTAAAAGTTTCCCAAGCTTGTCCTCTTACTGTCCTCAGACATATTAGTGAATTAAGCTTTGTACATTTCAGCTACTCATTCACTGTCTCCTTTCTCACTGCTCCCATCAGTGGACCCGTCGGTGGGTCCAAAGTTCTTAAAAGAAGTACTAACGTTAATTAAGAAAAATGCATTTTCAGGGGTCAAAATAAGGTTACACAGAACTGAGTACAAGGAAAGAACTTCAAAAGTCTTCCTCAGCATTTAGTGTACGTGATTTCTTGAGATGCTTCAATTTATCAATGGCAGAAGTTACTGAAATCTCTCCATGAATTTTGTTGTCCCTTGTTCGAACATTTACAGCATTATTTGTCTTTTCCTTTTCTCCAACCACTGTGGAAAAGAAAGGGAAATAAACATTTTAAATCAATGATTTATTAAATATTGTCAACTGTCACATGACACATGTGTCTTACTGAGTTTTCTTCAGTATTAATCACTAAATATCAATCTAATGACCATTAGGTCATGCTCTGATAGTAAGTTTCTGGAGGGAAGTAATGACTTCTAATCCCATCTCTCTACTGTCCACTTGGGAGAACATCTGTTGTGGTCTTGGGGTACAAACGGGAGCAAGGAGCTCTTACAGGCCTCTTGACTCCACCTGGCATAGTTGATAATCATGGGGTGGCCACCAGAGCCAGGCCCAAGCAGCCAACCAGAATATTCTGGAATGCAGGTAAAAAGTTGTTCTCTTTAGTGACCCATACCATAAGATGACACAGGAATCTGCAGCCATATTTCTTGCATATTTCATCAAGAAAGAAATTGGCGAACAAGTAAGGGGAATAAAGCAGATATTCCAGAGAAGAATTAAGAATAAAAGCAAAACAGGGGGACCAGAAATGGGGAGAAATAGTCCTGGTAAGGGTGGAGCTCCTTGTTCCAGTTATTATTCTAATGGTTTGGCTATTTAACTCTACCTTCCATGTCATGAGACTCCAACACCATTCCAACAAGTTCCATCTTTGCCTAAGCTAATTAGAAATTTCTGTCACCATAAGAAGTCTGACTGAAACACACAATACAGAGTCAACACTCTTGATGAAAAGCTGCCGATAGGACAACTCCATGCCTATTTATTGTGCCTTCTACAGAATCTTGCAACTTATAAGAGATAACAATATCATGCCCACAGCTATATCACTATCAGTTTCTCTTGATTTTGAATCATTTTTTAAAGTCAAAATTTTAGATTCGCATACAGTTACTCATGTGCCTCAAAAACTTTTTTTTTTTTTTTTTGCTTAATTCTATTCTTTTGACCTTCTTAAATTTGGAAACTTTTCCACTCATTAGTTTAATCTTAAAGATTTCTAATAAACCAGAAAAGCAAAGGAGAATATTTAAGGCCTGTTACATGGCTGAAACATAAGGAGTATAATTTTACTGAGATCATTTTCACATTTTTTCCATTGTTAGTTTGAGATATTATTTCTTGCTAGTAATATTCTATTACAGGATTCCTGTGAAACTTTATACTCTTCTTCCAGCAAATAACAAAGACTACATAGGAACAGCCTTCCCAGGAACACCACAGATTCCTCTGTGTATAAGTATTAAACAGTCAAATTGTCATGATAAAGTAGTTATACCATATTCTTTATTTTGTTTTTTGGAATTTAACTGGGAAAAAAACCTAAGCATTGTGAAAATATATAAAAATTTAAGTTACCCAAAATAAAATTATATTGAGCCAGCTGCGCATTTCGTATTTTCTTATTTAGTGTACAACTATGATCTAAATCAACGTCAGCCATGAATCCTTCTTCAAAAAATTCATTGGATACCTACAAGAAAATGAAACACTTTTATTATTACATTATGTATGGCAGCCAGCTTCCAAGATGACCCATGGGGTGCCTGCCTCCTACTATTCACATCCTTGTGTAGTTTCCTCCACATTGTACCAGGTCGGCCTTTGTGACCATAGAGAAGGGCAGAAATGATGGCATGTCACTTCTGAGGTTAAGTTACAAGACTGCAGCTTTCATCTCTTTCAGATCACTCCCTCTGGGGAAAACCAGCACCATGTTGGAAGGACACGGAGGCAACCTCTGAGAAGCCTGCATGGTGAGGATCTGAGGCACCCAACAATGAGGTGATTGTGTCCCCAAGGGCTGCAGCCTCACGAGGTACCCGGACCCAGAACCAGCCAGCCAAGCTGCTCCCAGATTCTGACTTGCAGAAACTATGAGATAATAAATGTTTCTTATTTTAAACTGCTAAGGTTTGAGGTAAGTGGTTATGCGGCAATAGATAATATAAGTATTCTTCCCTAATAGAGCCATGTAGAAAAGAATAACTTAAATATGTGATATTTTAAAATACCAATTTCTCAAAAACATTAAGAAATAAAATAGTTATGATACACCTACACAGACATG